GCTGGTGCTACAGAGCTGCTGTAATCTTATACTCTGATGCATTTCTCAGAAAAAAAAATCCGTCCAGAAATGGCGATTGAATGCTTGGACCATGCACCAGAATATCTAGCAACTGTTTCTTTCATCCGTTTCCTTTAGATTGATCGTGAAGAGTGGCTCTGCGGACACAAGAGCGGTAATCTACACAACCATATTGACTTTGTATGTGTGGCTGTACATAGTCTGTACACTACAGAGGAGATATCTGGAGTTGCATTAATGAATAACGTTGGCCCACTTCTTTCTGCTGGTGTAGATATCTACAGTCTAGCCGGGGATCCATGTTTTTTGTCATCATGTGGAAGTGTTTCCTGTTTTGGTTGCTCAGTGTGGAAATTAAAGAAGAAGTGACCGTTTAGTTGGCTATAGGATTTGATTGTATATGCCAAGGAGATTGCTATTGATCACGGTCAGTGATTGAGGCTGTGTGCATTGGATGTTTAAGAAGAATTGTCCAAGGCTGCAGGGTTGGTGTAAGCAGTCAGTGTGCTGCGTTTCAATCTGAAAGTCAGCTTCTGTTGTTATTATATCGTCCATATTTTACTGGGAGGGAAGTGCTTGTTATACAGAATTGGGACATCACATTTAGAAGAAAGAAGAAATGTTACTGTAAAACGTTATGGCCTTTTAAACGTTGAGTAATTTAGGAAGTGGTTTGTGTTGTTTTCAGTTATAGATCGTATAGATGTTGATGATGTTGATACAGTTTTGACTAAAGTGTCATTTCTGCTTCAGGTCGTTGTCTTTCTTTTGTTGACTTTTGCAGGCTCATACAGCTCTTATTGAAACAATCCTGGACCTACATGTTGACATCTGCCGCAGCGGTGTCACTGTGGAAATACGTGCTTTGCTCTGCAAAATTCCTGCCTGTTTAAACTCATTCTTTTCAGTAGCTTATTCAACTGTGTGCCTGAATGGCCATCGCAGTCAGTGGACCAGTGCTATGGCTCCACTTCTCTTTCTTTCTCTTTTTGTTGTTGTTCCCAGTATTCAACAACATGCGATATGACCAGGAGTCACTTTACCTTAGTCTAACATTGAATCCGGATGCATGTGTGAGGAAGTCGACATACAGTCACAAGATTACTGTTTGCGCTTGCCTCGGGTGGAGTACAGTCCTGGCCTGTGCTGCCTCCACAGACCTGAAAGATGTTTCCTTCAACAAAGGAGCTTTCTAGAGTTTCTCTCTGCATAGTTTCAGATTATACAGATGAGTGATACAGAGGAGTCTCAGCTGGGGGAGGGATGAGTTAACTCAGGCCTTGGTACTATTAGAACCTGAGATTTCTAACAGGTTGTACAGATTTTTACTTTCTCCTCTCAGATTGGACCTGACAGATTAATTGAAGGTTTTTTGCATTTTCTTTTTAAAGTGACGATCTGTGGCTATTTTATCTCTGAAGCTTTAGATTTTGACAAAGCTGACTTCATCAAGATTATATCAAAGGAACAACAGGTGTTACAAGAAGGAAGCTAAATGTTACCTTTTGTTTGTAACTTCCAACAGACAGGGCTCAAATGTATAGTTTGATAGTAACTGAATAAAGTTATTTTTTATCGAGCTTATACTATAAGAAAATGGTGAAGGGGGCTCTGTTGGGATGCACCAGAGTCCTGTTTCAGGGCTAATACATGTTGTGGTATTGGATTGATGCACAGTCACGCACACTCGCCGCATTTTAGGCAAAATCAGAAATTCCTCAGATGGTATTGGAACAGCTGTATATCAGCATATTGTACATTTAATGTACTTTTTGGTCCCTTTGAAGGAGCCGCATGTTTTTTTTATGGCAGTGATTCTTTGTCATTGAAAGTAATTGTGACATTTTAGGACACTGGCTTAGAGCCGCTGAAGTTAAAGTTGTGTATAGACAACATGTATTTCTAAGCACACACCACAAAAGGTTTAGGACTATTGCAATCCAGTAAATATAGTAAAAAACAATATTACCACTCTAAAATGAATGAACGTAAAGAAGATTGGATGAAATAGCACATTGAATAAAAGCATCACTATACGTTTGTTGAACAAAATGTTATCAGTGCCAATATTTACTGGAAAATCCAAAATACTGTTAATCAAAAATAAGAATAATATTGGTTTGTCATAGTTATCCACCTTTGGCCTGAGAGTTGGAAGGAAAGGATGGTTTGGATGCAGCTCCGTCAGCAGCGTAGATAATATCCACCTACAACAAGTTTAGCTGACCCTGGCTTTAGAGAGATGCAGGCTTGTTTGAGTTTGTATTGTGTGACAGGATTTTCATTTGGATGCACAAAACTAACACCGCTGTTTACACTGGTGTGTGTCAGGGGGCGGGGGGCTGCTTCTAATGTAACCGCGGATGTTTCAGCTCCACATCTAGTCCACTGCTGGTTAGCACAGCTTATTTGTTACACTGTACAAAATGGGCTATTTTCTAGGCAGATTCAATAAGACGCCAGTCCGCATCCAGAAGGGGAAGCAGCTAGCGGGTTTACAGATAAGGGGGACGAGGCTTGAAGCATGGGAAATCTCACCCTTGTCTCCTGGGAAACCAGTTTAGCCTTAGCTTGTGGTCAGCTATTTGCCCCTCAGTCAAATGTTCCCAGTGAGATGCATGACTGCTCGTGCACTAGAGATGATCAAATACAACAAGAATCAAGCCTACCACAAAACTCTAATGTAATGTGATACTTATCTTTATTAATCCCTGCAGGAAATATTTTGCTTGTGCTTTTCCACAGTGAGGTTGGAAGTCAGGGTCGGCTACACAGCTTAACAGTGAGCAGCGGAGTAGCAGTTTGAATCAGGGTTTACTGTTTGAAAGTATGGTTCATTAGTCCGCCACGCTACTATATCTTGTTGTTATCATGCCTGTCAAAGTATTCTACACGTACCGTTAAAACTTCTAATAATAGTCCAGGCGTTTATTGGCTTAAATCACCGAACTCATCCTGCCTTTATTAGGGACATGCATTTAATTACTTTAGCACAAAGCTATTGCTCAGCAAAGATTGGAGATACTATCTTATTGTGCTGCTTTTGTTTGACAACTAACAGACAGAATTTCACGTCGTACTTTTTTCTCCGCGCTGCTGCCGTGACACTTGTATGTGAACATTGTTTTACGACAGCGGGCACCCAGCATACAGACGGTGAGCAACGGACTGTGCATGACAATATTCACAAGTTGGTTCATTTTATTGAAACCCTTTGATTCTTTTGATCAGTGGACCCTTACGGACTGAAGGAATATAAATAATGGAGGAATGGACAAACTGTACTGACTTTATGACCGCTTCAAAGGTTGGGAGTCAAATCTGAATGAATTATACTTTGGTGCTCATAGTTTCCATAAAACAAATAAACAAATTGAATTGTGGAGAATCTAACTGATCTAACGAAGTGTCCATATTGACAAAAGTTTAAACATTACATTTGTGTAGGTGCTCTAAGCAGCGTAGAACTGGCTCATGGGGGCGACTTTAGGAGGTTTTATACATCCAGATAATTTCTATTAAATCCAGACCAGGCCTCTAATTGAGACCTGCCTTTTACTTGTCAAAATGTGTAGCAACACCAGGCTAATAAAGGGGACCTGATTTACAGAAATCTCCAGCCAAGTGAAGGAGACATTTGTTTCTCTTGGGTTGGTTTCTGTGACTTTAAGTCTTTCACTTATTCTGATGCATTTTGTTCGATTTTAGTGGTGTTGAATTTACTGAAACAGTTTTGCTGTTTGTGTGACCACATATCCTGTCTCATTGTGCCTAAAGTGGAAGAATAAATTCTTACTCTCGTCCCGGCTAAAAATACAGCACCCTGGTGGCTGGCATGCAGCACAACTTGCAGCCTCAGTATATAGCTGCTCAATATAGGCTGAGGGAAGCATTTTCATCCAGCAGCCTTTCATGAATGGAACGGACGTCAGAGCCTTTCATCACAGCTCTCCTCTCACTTGTTGAAACCCACCGGTTGGGCACACTAAACATACTCTATTGTACGCTGCTATTCTGGAGGGGCTATCTGCGCTAATTCTGTTTGCTTACCGTTGAATACTGAAAGGCTTGTATGCCTTGTGCAAAGGCTGTGATTAGATCAAATCAGGTGGGACTTCACATTTATTGGCATTCATGTGTGTTTGTTTTTGTTTGTTTTTAAAGGTGTGGAACACATTATTTAAGGCAAAGGCACATGTTGAAATGCGTGTTTGCATATGCGACGCAGACCTGCGGGGCCCTCAAGTATGTCCTTTGTTAGAGTGGCCTGTCTGCTATTTTTATTGGAGCCATAAGCTACTTACAATGTCTGTTATGACAGCACAGGTTAGCCTAATATTATCCAGCCCGTTCACCAACTGTATCAGCCTCTTGACTGATAGGAGTATTAGGTTTTGTCCCAACTTACTCAACAGTGGTTTGCTTCAGCAGCAGGAGAAGTTTCACTACTTCTTTAGAAAGTGTCGAATCTGCCAAAGAATACCACCAGGCTGTTGAGTTGGCTACGACTTCTTCACAGAAAAGTGTATATGAACAGCTTTTTATTATATAACGGAGTATCAAAGTAAATGTATTTTTAGTTCCAAACCCTCAGAACAAAAATGGGACCAAAACAGGATTAGTTGTGGGAACAAAACCAAACATTACCCTCAAACCACCAAAACCTGCTGCTGCCTACAAAATAATTCCAGGAGAAACACTATATTGGTGGCAGAAAATCTATTCTTGCAGTTAATATTAGATCGTAGCCATGGCCTCTGTTTTTCTCTTCCCCTCACAAAGTCATGCAGCTGCATGTGCTAGACTGTGTTTTTTTTTTTTCTGTGTGTCGGTATGAGGAGACCAAGGCCTGCCACAATACTCTCCTTGTGTTCTGACGGCAAGACGAGCCTGGCTCAGCTCCTGTCGCACAGTTGCTCACGGCACTTGTCCTGTCATTTGGACTGACCTCCTCGACCCGTCTGCTGATTCTCAGACCTTACTATAGCTTATCTGCTGTGTGGAATGTCTTCAGTGAAGCTCCCCCACCAAATAAACAGTCCAAAGCTTCCTTTCCAAATCTCAATTTGTTCTTTTTTTTTATATATTTTACCTGACGAGTTGATATTTTGAGGAGATGTTCTGCGATGTGTTGTTGATTTTTCGGACCTGCGTTTCCGTTCTCGTTTGATTTCCCATATTAAGCGGGTTCTGGGGAAATGCATTCCTTTGCTTCATTGGCAACAGATGTAGGGGAGAAATTTTTTTTTTTTTTCTTTGAGCTGAACCTTTTGGAGTGTCTAAAAACAGTGCCGTGTGGACCGTAGGGCAGCTGTTTTGCCCATGGAGGCTGAAATAGACTTCATGAGAGAGCTAATGTCGGGCCTGTGGCTGGAGCGTCAGAGGGCCTGTGTTTGCCTCACAGTGGCAGATGGATAAGGAGCTGTCAGCATGGGTAACAGCTGCCCCATCCACAGCTATTAAACTACCTAGCTGTGATGTGACAGTCGCACTAATATGGCTCCAGATCCAAAAGTACTGGTTTAGTGAGTGGCGGTATCCTGAAGGCTACGGAAGTGGGCGCGTGACCACTGGGTTGACTGGTTCATTTTGTCAAATCTGCTGGGGAAGTCGGTGTGGGGAAAGTGAGTAAAATAAAAGGTAAATGCTTGGCAACAGCTGGTGTGAAGGTGCCTTTGAGCAAAGGCACTTACTGCTTGAGCGGAGCTGCTCAGTAGCCAGTGGTAGAGGGGTGCAGATGTACTGGGCACCATCCCAGGTATTAATGTGTTTTCCTTAATGAAAGCAAAGTAGGTTGCGGTGAAGTTGTATACATGTTCCGTGTGAAGAAAGAACAAACATTTGTGTTTTTGGTGGGTTATTAGATTTCCAACAAAAGTGAAAACAACAATGCTACCACTTCAGAAATTCCCTCCCCAGCTCTCTGTCAGGTGGCTGCAGTCGTTTTGCCTGGAGGTTTTGCCCAGACAGGTAAATCATACTTGGTACTATGATTTACTACACACCTCTACCCAGTGGCATACTCGGTTTGACGTTTTTGTTACTGGCGACAGGGAGCTTGCTCCAGGAAACCTTAACCCCCTTCCTGTTGAAGCTGAGCAGCTGACATGAACAGTGAGTGGGGAAGTAGAGCTAACATTAGCCCGAAGCAGCCCCTGCTGGAGGAAGGACATTAAAATGTGCTGGCACAACTCCAGTGCGCATCCTGAGGGACTCTCCTATCACATGTGTTTGTTTGGGTGCAATCTCTAATACAGTGTGCCCTGCAACAGAAGGCTGGCAGCCAACAGAGCTACCCCGAGAAGCCAGCAAGCCTCATTAATATTGATGCCGTGACTGCTTCTCTTGGGATAACCTCAGCTTACGGAGTTTTATAGCCAGGAAGGAAATGTAGACCGCTAAAGCTCTCTAATAACGTTACATAGATGACTTATATCTGCCTGGAACAACCATGTAACAAAGCATGTAGCCCACAATTTTCTCCCAAAAAAATCTGGCTTTGTTGTTCAGGCTGAATGGACTGTGACTCACTGCACTTAATCAGTTCCTACTTTTGTTATTCACTGTTACGAGCGAGGAGCCGCAAACTACATCAAACCAAGATGAGGTTTTCACTCTCAGAGAAGTCAAAATCCACAGAACTAGTTGAAGCCACATGCAGCCAATCTACATTTTGCTTTTCTTTGAGAAAATGTTTTCTCAAAGATTAAATACTTCTTCCATCTTCCTAAAGCTGTCTCACCACTGTCCACACAATTCGTTTTAATTATTTACAGCCGGTTGCAGGCCTGCCATTTCATTCTGCATTGCATGACAATAGTATTTCCAAGAAAATTATATAAAATAACTAAGTATAGTGATAAATTAGGTGAAACCAAATATATGAAATTCCATCCCAAGGTGGTCTGCAGGCCCACCACCACAAACAAAAGATTACTGTGTGAAATGTACATTGAACGAAAGGTATTTTCCCTTTGGAGGCCTCGCTGACCTGTTTAGTCTTCTTTCAAACAACACACATTGCACATATTCTATTTCTGTACTCGTTATTTAGCCCAACAGTGTGAAACTGAACTAGAGTGGTTAGCCCCCGGTCAGCTAAGCCCAGGTTTCCTGTTTACCTCGCAGAAGCTAATATCATATTAACTATGTCAACTAGCAGGCATTGTGGGGCACCTGGCAGCTGTAATCCATGGGATTTAGAGGTGTGCACTTTGCACTAGTTAGCTGCTCTCAACCTGCCACTGAGTAACAAGTAGACCGCTTGCTTCTGCTGTTCACCGGCACCTTGAGTTTATAGGCCCAGTTTGTTGTTTGATGCTGTATTTTTGTGTGCAGTGCAGAAAGACATTTTTAAACCTGTGACTAGCTTAAAGGCTGACAAGTGATTGTGGTCAATGGCCAAATGTAGATCTGTAGTGTGATATACTGTCGGGGAATTTGCAGTACAGCCACAGTGCAGTTTGGTACCAGATTAACTCCACTGGTAATTGCTCACATAGGAAAACACAAGTGGATGAATCAGAGCAGCCTGCTGTGACTAAATGAATGTAACTGATGGAAACACTGAGTTTTATAATGACTTTAAAGACTTTATTTAATATGGTTATGTGGATTACAAGATCCGCATCGGTTCCCTAGTATATAAAAAGATCTTGAAAAATAGTTTACCACATTGAGACGACAACCGGCCTCTGATGTGATCTATAATTGAACTAGTTAACACAGCAGCTTCTGTGTTGTGGAAGTCACCAAGCTTTGTTTAGACGAACATAATGGTGGAAATAGCCTTGGAAAGCTTTAGATGTAAACAAGTTACACTGCCAGAGCAAGTGTTGTTGCGGAGCCCATGAGCAAGATAAAATCCCACGGCTCTAACGAAAGTGCATGCACGTGTCTGTGTAGTAGTAGTATACAACTTAAATGTGACCTTTTAAGGGTTAAAAATGGGAAGCACATCTCTGTCGTCCCTTCGTGAGGAGGTCACCAGCGTCCCTTGACTCTGTCTCTCCACTTTACGGCCAGGGGCAGACGAGGGTGGGCTGCTTTTTGCCGGGCGTACCCCTCCGTCTGTGAAAGGAAGTGAAGTTTGAAGGTCAGGGGAATGTTGGCGGGGATGCACAATGGAAGCTACGCATGTAAGGCCACTACGCAGCTGCTTCGAGTGCAGTGACAGCAGGCTGCATGGTGATGGTGTTTTTTTTTCCACAAGTTGCTTTTCCTGACTCATCCCAAAACACAGAAGCTTTCAGCGTGCTGCGACAAGATAACAGAGTCTGAATGTTCCACGGAGGGAGCTGTGTATCTCACAGATTAGTCTGTCATGTTGATATTCAGTCTCAATATACCATTGAGTGAAATATCATCAGGAGTGTACGCATGGACTTCAGTGCCACTGGGGCTCTACATAGCAAAGGAACAGGTTTAGTGATGGACTGTTTTCTTTGAAGGCTACACCTACTAGCCTAAAGCTTTCGCCTTGTCCAGTGTATGGTTATTTTGGATGGATGGAAATGGAAGGAAGACAAACAAATTACTTTCTGCCAATTTAACATTATTTTTTTCAGGTTTCTGTCAGCTTTATTAACAAAGACTGTTTTTGTTGTTGTAGAGTTTGCAGATTGCAGATCACTAGTTGTATTATTTTCTTGTCTTATTCAACTGTGTTCAGTCTTGAACGTGCATTTCTGAAGATCTGCGGCCACAGCTGATCTTTGGCTGTTTAGTCCAAATCCCCCTTGATCTTGACAATGTAAAATATTATATTCATAATCAAGTGAAAAGGCCAAAGAGAGGAGGACAAGTCACACAATGCTTGGGTATTGAATGAGAGTATTGTGACTCCTACTATGTGGAGCTCAACAGACGCTGCTGTGTCTTCCAACAATGGCTTCTTGCAGGAATTTCTCTCTGCAGCTGTGTTCTGCTGAACCAGACACTGCCAGAGATTCTTTTCAGAGACGCTCTCTGTGAGGTATGGTGTTAGTAATCGTCTAGAAATGTACAACTTTAAACCCCAGCTCTTTACTAAACTGTAATATAATATTACCACCAAGTTTACAGAAATGTGGCTACGTATCGTCCTCTTTCAATCAGAGCAGGAAAATAACAGTTTTTATCCGTCACTATAACAGTCAAAACAAAACAGCCAAAATATTATGGATGTTGCAATTTGTATTTGGGGATTGCTATTATCACTGTATTGATTTATCTACAACTGAACAAAACTAGTTATTATGTAGCTTGAATCTTACCATGATGTAAATTAAATTTAAAGTGTGAGCTGCAGAATGTAAGTTGTGTTGTAATAAAACGTAATGAGATATTTGGAGCCGTCTCATCCTCAGGGGATTTAAAGGGCGGGTTCACACCAAAAGGTCCTGCTCCTGAATCGAAGCAGTGGGGGGATTAGGGCTGTCACATAAAAAAATAAAAATAAAAAAGAGTGCACACAAATTTGAAATAACACACAATAAAAAAAAATAAACAAAAAGAAAATCTCAAAACACATCGTACAAATGTATGACACCCCAAAAGAAAACATAACGTAAATACTATA